AATTCAGGGGTCCATAGCTCCAAGCCCCAAGCTTCTTCTTCTTCTTTTTTTTTTTCTGCCCCAAGCTTCTTGAAAGGGTTCCAAGTGGCATTCTGAAAGGCCAGGCGATGGAGGGACAGTGTTCGTGGTTGCAAACATCTGGCTGTAGGAATTCTTTGTCTTTGGCAACTGTTCACCACGTGGGTCAGGTCATGAGGTTCCTATACCCCTTCCACGGGACAGATGTTCACAGGGGGAGTGGGAAGGGTCCACACTCCTGTTCCCACTGCTCCCCTCCGTGAACTGGAGTGTGAATCCAGATGGGCCTCTGACCACACACATCGCTGGGTTACATCACGCCGGTTTGGCCTTCGGTTCTCACAAACTGGCACTCTTGCTGCTTCTCGAAGTGTCCTAGAGAAGAAGACATTGGATTCCACAGTAGATCAGCTTCTTTGACTAGCGACGGCACGACAGCCACAACAAGTGGGATGGATAAACACAGAGGTTGGTTTCCTTCGGACTGTGGAGCCCACCTCTGTGCTGAGACTTTCTTTAACGAACATATTTTCCTTCATTTCAGTCGTGACGGTCCAATGGTTTGGGTGACAACATTTCATGTTTCAGGGTAGATGATTTTAGAAGGCTGTGAGGGGACTTCCCTGCCCGGTGGTCCAGTGGTTAAGAATCCACCTGCCGATGAGGCAGGGGACAGGGTGTTTTTGATCGATCCCCGATCAAGGAAGATGCCACTGGACTCCGGGCAGGTTCGATACAAACCTATAGAACGGACAATGCCAGGCAGGCGTGAAGGCGAGGGCAGACGGGGGACGCTGGACGAGGATGACTGACACTGACGTCTCCGTGTAGGTGGGTTGTGGCCGGTACACTCCTCTGGGGCAGGATGTTCCTAAGACTGTTGCGGGAGGAGCAGGGGACCTAAGGGAACTCTGTCCTCTCTGCTCCATTTTGCCCCTGGAACCCTAATCTGCTCAAAGAGAGGATTCAGCCTCTGGAAAGACAAACTCACACGTGAGTGAACCTCCTTTCTGGTTCACTTGGATTCTGAAAGCGTGACGGTCAGATTCACTCAGCTCTCTGGATGTCTGTTCTTCCTGAGATCCCGGCGTACTCACTGGAAGAACACAAGGAGCCGGATGAGATCTCCCTCTGCATGGCGGCTCCAGTGTGCACACATTTCAATGGCTGCGGCTTGTGGACATCGCACCGAGAGCCTAACCCCGGTGTTTCAGATGCCTGTTTCTACAATGGCTGAACAGTTTTAACTGCGGGAAGCCCAAAATTTGCTCCTGCCTGTTCGATCTGCAGGGACTCTGCAAAGAACACACGTGTCCGGTCTCATGACCGATCCCCTTTTCGGAGCCAGCCTGGCGTGTGATCTGTTTTCCAGGCCATAGGCACGCACTGGCACTGGGGAGCTGTGTTCCTCCTCCCCCTCCCCCTCTCCCTCCCCCCCTCCTCCTCTCTGCCCCCACCCTTCCCCCCACCCCCACCCCGCCTGGGCCCGGCCCGTCCAGGTCTCCCCCACCCGTGGAAAAGGCCAGGAAAAAATGGTCCCAGAACGACGCAGCCGAGAAACAGTGCAAGTCCACTTGGATGCGGTTAGGAAACACCTGAGCATACCTAGGCCAACACTGCCACCTTGTGGGGTGAGAGGCCAGTGAGAGGAGAAGCTCAAGAGCTCAGAGGAGGAGGAAGAGGAGCAGGAGGGAGGGAGGGAGGGAGGGAGGGAGGGAGGCGGCGGGGGGGGGAGGGGAGGGACAGGCTGAAGCTGTCTCAGGGCGATGACGTGGGTGAAAATGTTCCCCTTCAGAAGGGCGCTCCGAAGAGATCGTTCCGGCGGGAGCTTGAGAGCACAACAGGGCTTCGTTTTGGAGGCTAATCTTAAAGCTGGGAGTGGGGATGAGGGAGGGAGTCATCCAGACTTACGAAAGACACCAGGCCGGGAAGGCAAGACAGATTCTTTACAAAAGTGAATCGGATGCTTTTCTGTCAGTGTGTTCCATAATCAGACTATCATGGAAATACATCCATCCGTCCGTCCGTCCGTCCGTCCATCCACCATCGTTTCGCTCCTTTTCTGTTCTCTACATTTTTAACGGCGAGTGAGTGAGAGAGTCTTTCAGTGGTTTGGTAGGATTTTTGAATGTCATGTCGTAGGACCATGGTACTTTTCAGCCATGGATGAACGTGACGGCTTCTTTTTTCAGCTTCAGCTTTCAGGGTTATCCTGAACTGCCTCGCCAAGTGAGGCCTGTGTGTCCCTGTGTGCTGGAGGAAGGACACCGTGCTATCCACATCTTTATCTTGGACTGAACAAAACCACCGTTGGGAATGTGTTCCTAGGCTTCGTTTCCTTTCCCTATGGCACTACCTGACCATCCTGTCCACTCTTTGGATCCTTTATCTCCCTCTCCCCCTCAAGGCACTTGGTCCTTTTCTTCCTCCTCCTCCTGCTCCTCCTCACCCTAGTTTCTCTCCCCCACCCCTCTCAGTCCCACTCTTCTCAAATTGACTCTAACTGACTGACAATGTTTTATTTTGCCTGACTGCCTACCTGCCTGCCTGCCTTCCTTCCTTCTTTCCTTGTTTTGTTTTGTTGTTTTTGTTGTTGTTGTTCCCCCATTAATTTTCAGGTGTACAGGCGATGTTTCAGTGTAGCGCAGGCAGGACACAGCGATCACCAGGATACATCTCATTACCGTCACCACTTGGTGTCACGGCAGATGGCATTTGGTGTCATGACGTGCCTGTGACTCACTGATTTCATCCGTGGAAGGTTGCACCGCTTCGTCTGTCTCCGCCACCAGCGGCACTCGCTCATTCTCTCCCCCATCCCACCCCCGCCACCCTGTCACCCCCTCCCTCCTCTGGCCACCACCCATGTGTTCCTTTGTGGTATCTATGAGCCTGCTTCTGATTTGTTCTGTTCTGTTCACGGTGTATTCTTTGGTAGATTCTGCATGGAAACGACTGATCTGAGGGGCTTCATTTAGCATAATAGCCTTTCTAAAGATCTCTCCAAGTCCCTGCAGACTGTTAGATTTCATTCCCTTCTGGTGGTTGAGTCCCATTCCTCTGTGTGTGTGTGTGGGGGGGGGGGTCTGCATGCGCGTGTGCACACGCGCACCTGAATAGATACAGGCGTAGGCACACAGACCGAGAGTTCTATCATTCTGTTTGTACGGATGTCTACCTAGGTATAGGTGTCGATACCACACATACACACGCGCACATCTTCTTGGTCCCTCCGTAGGCACTCCGTGGAGTTGCCGGGTTGGGTCGGACGAGGAATCTTTGGTGGAGTGTTCTGAGGGATCCCAGGACTCGTTTCCCTAGTGATGGGGTTTCTCTCTCTGTGAGGTGCCAGGTGATGAGCTCTAATATCTCTGAGTCCGCCAACACTTATCTCAGCTGCAGGAAAGACGCATTCCATCGATCAGGAGCCACTGTCTTCTGATGTTTCTAACTTGCTGTCGCGATTGCAAGTCCAGCTCCTGGGCCCTTCCCCTCCAAATTATCATTGTCCAGATAAACGCCCCGGGGTGCTTCCGTGAGTCCCGCCCCCACCCCCAGCAGCCCCAGCCCAGCCCAGCCCAGCCCCGCCATTGATTTCTTTCCTATCTTGTGCTTCTGAGTGTCTGTTCTACCTTTATTTTGAATGAAGGTGTCCGTGCGGGCCTCCTGCCAAATTCGCTTATCGGGGAACTGTTTTCTCTTTTGGAGGTTGAGTTGTCTGACGCCTTGATCAGTTTTGGACAGAAAATCCCCTTTTGCAATATGCTTGCGCTTTCCTCGTATACGCGCGGGCATGCGCGCACGCGCACACACACACACACAGACACACACACACACACGGATGTGTGTTTCTGCCTGTGTATGTACGTGTAGGTCTGTGTATATATATACATATCTACACCTATATGTATACACACACGCGCGCACATAGACATCTACACAGACACATGTGTGTGTATGCACATAGGTACATGTACACTGACTAATACGTATGTGTATGTATACATACGCCTGTACACACATGCACACACGCATACGCATATGCGTATACGTATGTGTGTGCATCTATGCACATCAATCTGTGTATATGCACTCTATACACACACTTGCAACTGTACATACGTATGTTTACTTACACATACATGTGTGTATGTGTATACACATATACACCCGTACGTCTGTGTGGACCTATATACACTATATGTAGACGACTATGTATGCGTACATGTGTATGTATACACGTGTGCATATACACAGGCAGATATGTGTGCATATGTAAGCATACACGTACATGTCCACATATATGTACACACACACCTGTGCGTATACATCACACGTACACACACGTGTGCATCTATATGCGTTTACACTCCCGTGTTTATTTAAATGTAGGTGTGTATATCTACATATAGGCACATATGAGCATGTGTATTCATGCGCGTGCATATCTGTGTACGTATGTGTGTAGATGCCTGTGCATACGTATATACATGCAAACATACATGCACACTATAAACACTTAGGCATATACGTGCACACACAGACACATGCGCGTACGTGAGCATACATGCCCTTCGTACGTACTTGTTTATACACATGTGTGCATGTATATATAGATGCGAATATGTGTCCGTATACATATGTACATGCGTATATGCACATGTGCCCTCTCTTCTCTCCCTCTCTCCCTCTCTCCTGCTTCTCCCCCTCCCCCCCTCCCCTCTGCGGCCCGGGTCGCGTTGCGTCGCGTGGCTTGGAGGCGGAGGAGGCTCTGGCCGAGCTCGGGCGTTTGGGCGGCCGGCGCGGTGGCGTCCTCGGCGGCCAGCGACAGCGACCCGTCCTCGGGACGTTCGAGCCGGTTGTCGGGAGCCACCTGGCGGCCGCTTTTATATTGTCCCTCCCCTCTGGAGCTTCGGCGAGACCTTCAGGAGGGTTGTGACTCAGCCGCCGGGCCCGAGGCAGAGCTCTCAGAGACCGGCTACGCTGGCAGTGACAGTCCCGGTGACACCGAGGCCTAGGGACGTCCTGCTGTCGCCGGAGATTGGTTCTCTAGGTTCCGGAGGAGGGTGGCCATCGCGGCGCTCCAGATTCAGGTTCTGGGGCGGCCTGGCCGGGTCGACCAGCATCTTCCCGTGCCTCTCCGGCCGTGGAGACGCCACACGTCTCTTACCCCCTGCACCTTCAGTGAGCTCGGGTGAGCCAGTACCTCTCAGGCAGCTCCTTGGCTCCCCCAGTAGAACAGCCTGTGTATGAAGGGCAGACACGACCTAGGGGCACAGTGGGCCTCTTGCTCTCCCTGCTGCCCTGAGGCTGCTGGGCAAGCAAGGGCTTGGGCATCTGCTCACTTGCTCCCCGCTTTCCTCTGACACAGCCCTCCGGCCTCTAGGCCTTGGCAGTTTGGAGACACCCCCTGCCCACACCTCCCCTACAAGTAAGCCTCAATGAGGCCTAGGCCCAGTAGAAAGGCCCCAGCGGGGCTGACCCCAGGGAGGAGCACGGGCATATCTGACACACTCCCCGCAGCCTGCCCCTTCATGGGGCCATACCCCTGGAGACCAGGAATGTCTGGGCAAGGCTGGCCAAGGGCAGAGGCTATGCTGGGGCTCTGCTTCTGGCCTGTGGGGCCTCCTAAATGAACTGGTCATCTCCCACTGGAAGACCTCCCCGGCTGCTTCCAAAAGATGGTTTGTAAGCACTCGCCAGCTGGCTGCCGCTTCCTCCCCGAAGGAGGCCCACTTTCCCCGCATGCCCCGCATCCCCCGCACTCTGCTTCCAGGCCCCAGAGAAAAGCGCTTTGGGGTGGTCCTCTCTCAGGGCCCTTGCCCCTGAGCCTGGGGGTCAGCTAGGGGGCCCACACTCCCAGGCCAAGGCCAAACCACATGCACATGTCTCTTCCTGCTCCCTGCACCTTCAGAGAGCTCGGGTGAGCCAGAGTCTGTCAGGCAGCTCCTTGGCTCCCCCAGCAGCACAGGCTGTGTGTGAAGGGGCAGACCCGACCTAGGGGCACAGTGGGCCTCGTTCTCTCCCTGGTGCGCTGAGGCTGCTGTGCGCGCAAGAGCTTGGACATCTGCCCAGTTGCTTCCCCCGTCCCTCTGACAGACCCTCATGCCTCTAGGCCTTCGCAGTGTGGAGACACCCAACCTGCAGCTCCCCTCCAAGGAGGCCTTGGGGCCTAGTCCGAGTGCAAAGGCCTGAGCGGAGCTGACCCCAGGAAGGCGCCCGGGCATGTCTGACACACTCTCGCAGCCTGCCCCTTCAGGGGGGCAGAACCTGTGGAAGCCAGGAAAGTCTTGGCATGGCTGGCCAAGGGCAGGGGCCATGTTGAGCTCTACCTCTGGCATGTGGGGCCTCTGATCAAAACTGACATCCTCCCGCTGGAACACCTCCCCTCTTCCTTCCAAACGCCAGGTGCCTGGCCTTGCCGGTTGGCTGCCACTACTTCCCTGATGGAGGCTCACTTTTCCCGCATCCTGCGAACTTCCTCTCTCAGCCTCCTTGCAAAAGCCCTTCTTAAAGTTCCTTTCTTCGTGGCAGTATCACTGAGCCTGGGACATTGGGGAATAACCCCACACTCACAAGGAAGAGTAGAGGCAACTCTACACATCTCTTGTGTGTCTCTTGCTCTGTACAAGAGCTCTAGTGAGCCTATGTCTGTCAGGAAACTTGTGACTTAATGGAAAAACACCCCTATGTGAAACTTCTTATCCGACCTAGGGGTTGCAGGGAGCCTGTTTTGCTCAAATTGGCCCTGAAGTGCTGCAGACTAGCAATAATTTGAAAATCCATCAATTGCTCTTTTCGTACCTATCACAGTGAGCTTTGCTCCAAATTTGTCATTGTGGAAGGAAGAGTGCTGAAGCACTTCCGTAGAGGGAATTTGAGTGTGCCTTGAGAGGAAAGGCCCCTATGAGGAGCTGAGCTCAGGAAGGCACCCAGTCACATCAAACACACTCCAGTTGCCTGCTTTTTCATGGAGAGAACAGCTATGAGCTAGTTATGTCTTTGCCTACATACCCTACACTTCTCTTGCATCCCCTTTGCTGTGTAGGAGAGCTCCGCTGAGCCAAGTTCTCTCTGGAAAATTCTGGCCTTGTCGGGAACACACACTGTCTATAAACTTGCATGCCAGACCTAGGGGCCCCAGGGCGCCTGATTTTCTCGAGTGGGCACTGAAGTGCTGCCGACTAGCAAGAGCTTGAAAATCCACTCAATTGCTCTTTTCGTACCTCTCACAGAGCTAGCCTTGCTCCACACTTTGGCAATGTGGAAAGAAGAGTGCCCAAGCACTTCCCCAAAGGGACATGGGGCCTACCTTGAGATGAAAATTCCCTCAGTTTCTGAGCCCAGGAAGGCACCCAGCTGTGTTAAACACACTCCTGTTGCTTGCTTCTTCATGGAGAGTACTGCTGTGAGCTAGGTATGTCTTTGCAAGTATTGCAAAGTGAAGGGGAGATACACTGCCTGCCTCTGGTCCTCTAAGCAGAACTGAAGGTCTCCTGTTGTATAAGAGAATCTCTTCCTTCCAAATAGAGGCTTGCAGCCACACGCCGGCTGGCTGCCTCTTCTTCCCCGAAGGAGGCTCGCTTTTCCCACATCCTGTGAACTTCCTGTCCCAGCCTTCTGGAAAAGCCTTTGTGAGAGTTCCTTTCTTAGGGGCAGCTATCCCTGAGCCTGGGGCAATAGGGAGCAGCCCCACACTCACAAGGAAAGGCAGAGCGACCTCCACATATCTCTTGTGTCCCCTTTGCTCTGTAGGAGAGCTCTAGTGAGCCTAGGTCTGTCAGGGAAATTCTTGGCTTTAATGGGAAAACACCCAGTGTGTGAAACTGCATATCAGACCTAGGGGCTGCCGGAAGACCATTTTGATTGATGGGGCCCTGAAGCACTGCAGACTAGCAAGAGCTTGACAATCCATCCAATTGCTCTTTTCGGACCTTCACAGAGCCAAATTTGCTCCACCCATTAGCAGTGTGGAACAAAGAGGGCCAAAGCCCCTATCCAGAGGGACTTGTGGCCTACCTCAAGAGGAAAGGCCCCGATGAGGAGCTGCACCCAGGAAGGCAGTCAGTCATGTCAAACACACTCCAGTTGCTTGCTTCTTCATGGAGACTACCGCTATGAGCTAGGTATGTCTTTGCAATGACCACAGAGGGAAGGGGAAATACATGGCCCTGCCACTGGAACTTTGGTCTTCTGAGCAGATCTGGAGGTCTCCCGTTGTATCAGCAAACCTCTTGCTTCAAATAGAGGCTGGCAAACACACGCCAGCTAGCTGTCTCTTCTTCTGCCAGGCAGGCTCGTGTTTCCCGCATTCTGTGGGTTTCCTGTCCCAGCCTCCTGGAGAAGCTGTTCTAAGAGTTCCTTTCTAAGGGGCAGTTTTCCCTGAGCCTGGGGAAACAGGGAGTAGCCCCACACTCACAAGGAAAGGTAGAGGCACCTACACACTTCACTTCCATCCCCTTTGCTCTGTAGGAGAGCTTTTGTGAGCCAAGGTCTCTCTGGATAATTCTGGGCTTTGACAGGAACACACCCTGTCTGTAAACTTGCATACCCAACCTAGGGGATATAGGGCACTTGATTCTCTCCAGTGGGCCCTGAACTGGTGCAGCCTAGCAAGAGCTTGAAAATCCATCCAATTGCTCTTTTCGGACCTCTGACAGAGCTAGAAAATCCATCCAATTGCTCTTTTCGGACCTCTGACAGAGCTACCTTTATTCCTCCCTTTCACAAAGTGGAAGGAAGAAGGCCCAACCCCTCCCCAGAGGGACATGGGGCCTACCTTGAGAGGAAAGGTCCCTTGAGTTTCTGAGCCCAGGAAGGCACCTATTCATGTTAAACACACTCATGCTGCTTGCATCTTCTTGGAGAGTGCCGCTGTGAGCTAGGTATGTCTCTGCAAGGATCGCAAAGGGGAGGGGAGATACACAGCCCTGCCTCTGGAACTTCGGTTCCTCTGTGCAGATCTGGAGGTTTCCCATTGTAGTAATGAACCTGTTGTTTCCAAATAGAGGCTGACAAACACACGCCAGTTGGCTGTCTCTTCTTCCCTGATGGAGGCCTGCTTTTCCTGCATCCTGCAAATTTCCTGTACCAACCTCCTGGAAACGTGCTTTCCTAGAGTTCCTTTCTTAGGAGCAGTTAATCCCTGAGCCTGGGGCAATAGGGTGTAGCCCCACACTCACAAGGAAACTAGAGCCACCTCCACACATCTCTTCTGTCCCCCTTGCTGTGTAGGAAAGCTCCAGTGAGCCAAGATCTCTCTGGAAAATTCTGGGCTTTGATGGGAACACACCCTGTCTTTAAACTTGCATCCCCGATCTACGGTCCATAGGGTGCCCGATTCTCTCGAGTGGGCCCTGAAGTGGTGCAGCCTAGCAAGAGCTTGAAAATACATCCAATTGCTCTTTTCGGACCTCTGACGGAGCTAGCTTTAGTCCTCCCTTTCACAGTGTTGAAGCAAGAGGGCCCAACCCCTTTCCAAGGGGACATGGGGCCTACCTTGAGAGGAAAGGTCCCTTGAGTTTCTGAGCCCTGGAAGGCACCCAGCCATGTTTAACACACTCCTGCTGCTTCCTTCTTCATGGAGAGTACCACTGTTAGCTAGGTATGTCTTTGCAGGGATTGCAAAGCGAAGAGGAGATACACTGCCCTGCCTCTGGAACTTTGGTCCTCTGAGCAGAACTAGAGATCTCCCATTGTTTCAGCACACCTCTTGCTTCCAAATAGAGGCTTGCAACCACACGCCGGCCGGCTGCCTCTTCTTCCCCGAAGGAGGCTCTCTTTTCCCCGCATCCTGTAAACTCTGTCTCAGCCTCAGGCAAAAGCGCTTCTTGGCATTCATTTCTTAGGAGCAGTTATCCCTGAACTGGGGGCCATATGGAGTAGCCCCACATTCACAAGGAAAGGTAGAGCCACCTCTACACATCTCTTGTGTCCCCTTTGCTCTGTAAGAAAGCTCTAGTGAGCCTAGGTCTGTCAGGAAACTTCTTGGCTTTAACAGGAAAACACCCAGTCTGTCAAACTGCATACTAGTCCTAGCGTCTACAGGGTGCCCGTTTTGCTCAAGTGGGCCCTGAATCGCTGAAGACTACCAAGAGCTTGAAAATCCACCCAATTGCTATTTTCA